TTTTACTGCAGGAGTTTTTACATATACATTATATTATGGGTTTGTCTGAAAATAGTGTATCTCATATTCCAATGGATTATCACCATGTTCCCCATTAAAATTGCTATTTGTGGGTATCCACTATTTTCAGACAAACCCGTATGAACATATACTTACTTACCAGTAAGATGAAGGTTTTAAATTCACTTTTTGGACCCAGTAACCACTTATTTCCAGTTCTTCTAACCAATTTCGTATAAACCCAACTTGCTATAGTTGGGTTCTCTGGGGTGAAACGACTGGAAATAGACATGGCTCTTCAGCGATGACACTGACAAGTGGTGTGTGGTCGCAAAGCCTATTGAAAAAGAAGAAACACCTTACCCTCTGGTAAACAAACATAGCTATTGAAAATGGCCATTCATAGTTGATTTACCCGTTAAACATTGTGATTGTCCATAGTTATGTTATGTTAGTTTACCGGTAAACCCAACTTAATGGGGGTTACTCGGTTACTGGAGGTCAGCTTCCGCCATTCAGCCCCCATCACGCCATGGCCGCCATGCTGCTTCTTCCAGGCAGAGCGGGATCCGCTGTCACCAAGTCCGAGTCCGGATCCGCACGACTGTCCAGGAGGCACCTCGAGCTTTCGGGGCTTAGATCTCCACAGCAAGGCATGGCACCAAACAGGATCTGGATGGTACCCTAAGATAGCTGGGATTTATGGATGATTCCCCCAGTAAAAATATGGTAAAAATATGTCAAAATGTGTTCAAAATACCCATCCCCACAGTTTGGAAAGCTCCACTTTTTCTGGGTGCAATCTCTATGTTTTGTAACGATGCAAATCTGTTCAAGGCACTCCTGCAGCATGTGGAAGAGGTGCGGATAGGGTAGCACCGCAGTCTCCTTGCATCCGCGTGGGCTTCGGACCCTGAACCCACAAACCAAGGGAGAATTCTGTGAATTAGCAATATCATGGGGTAAAAAACGGTACTGTACATAGCAATGAGATTTACTTTCATGAGATTTGACCATTATGTATACATAGTACATAGCAATGTGGGGATACCGGGGAGAAAACTATCCAAGATGCTCCATGGTGCTGGATAGAACTTGACCTACTTCTGTTCTTGCTATTTTTGGGGTAAATGACCTGCAAGAAGCCTATGATAGTTGAGCATTACAGAAACCATCGCCGCAGATATTTGAGGAACGGGTGATCTTTGGGAATTCCTTTTTGACAAATCTGTCTTTAAAAGCCACCAAGGTGAGCCGGCTGCTGGAACTTTTTTGCTCTCACATGATGTCTCTCAACCAAGCCTTGGAATTTTGCTTGGGGGCGATTCGCTCCGGATCTTTGCCAGGAAACGGACCACCTCAGCATGACCTTTTTGAGATGCCAGATCCAGAGCACTTCTTCCACTGCGTGTAGTTGCGTGACTATCTGCGCCTCTTTCAACGAGAAAACGAACAATTTCAACATGGCCCATTTCTGCCGCAGCATGTAAGGCTGTTTCCCCAGTATCCCTAGTTGCCTCATTTTTGCGAGCGCCAATATCAACCAAATGCCGAACAACATCAAGATGGCCTTTCGCTGCTGCGATCATCAATGGCGTTGCGCCATCGTTCCTTGCTTGATTTTTGTGGGCACCAACTTCCATCAGATGTTGGACAACATCAAGATGGCCTTTCGCTGCTGCGATGAACAATGGCGTTGCGCCATCATTCGGTGCTTGATCTTTGTGGGCACCGACTTCCACCAGATGACGAACGACATCAAGATGGCCTTCCTGTGCTGCAATAAACAATGGTGTTGCGCCATCATTCGTGGCTTGATCTTTGTGGGCACCAACTTCCACCAGATGACGAACGACGTCAAGATGGCCTTTCGCTGCTGCGATCCACAGTGGCGTTGCGCCATAGCTCATGGCTTGATCTTTGTGGGCACCGACTTCAACCAGATGGCGAACGACATCAAGATGGCCTTTCTCTGCTGCGATCCACAGTGGCGTTGCGCCATAGTTCGTGGCTTGATCTTTGTGGGCACCAACTTCCAGCAGATGACGAACGACATCAAGATGGCCTTCCTCTGCTGCCATGAACAATGGCGTTGCGCCATCGTTCGCGGCTTGATCTTTGTCGGCACCTGCTTCAATCAACAACTGCAGGCTTTCAACATGTCCTCTTTCTGCGGCACGGTACAACGGTGTTGTGCCATGTTCGTCTCTCACATTTGGGTTCAAAGGTTTTTTCAGCAAACTCTCAAGTTCAATCAATTCATTGTTGGTGGATGCAGAGATCATGCGTTGGGTTTGCTCAGCATCCGTTTGGAAAAACTCCAGGATCACAAGCATAAGCTTCACTGGAGCCGAAACAAAAATCTCATCATCCGGAATCTCGGAACCATCTTCTGAAAAGAGTCTTTGTCTAAAAATGGTGACATGAATCCTTGGATTTGCTATCCAGGAACCTCAAAAAATAAAAAACACAAACATATTCCTTTCATCGATTCCCTAAGTAGTGTGGATTTTCCGGTGGGAAAATGAAAAATAATCAGCAAATCCAGGAATCTTAGTGGCCAAGACTTGCTTCACAGCCTTTGCAGTTTTTCCTTCAAATTCATCAGGGGCAAGGACTGCCAGCGTTGCACCTGACGCGAGGAAGCACACCTCCATCGCGCTGATCGCTCAAAGCCAAGCAGCAGGCTGTATGGAATGTGGGAACAATTGCCCCAGCAGTTTACAATCTGTCAAGAAAGAGACATGTGATTATTAATTCAGATGTTTTGCTTCAATAATTTGCGATCATTGACCCACGAAAGTAGTCCCCAATTGAAAGATGTGTGTCTGGATCTCCACCCGTCGGTGACACCTTGATTGGATTCATCCTGCAGAACCATAGGATCAGGTTCCATGATGCCGCTGGGAATTCAATGATGATTCTGAATCAATATCCATGCTATTCTCAGTTATACCGTTATAATCCGTTATACCTGATCAAATACTTGTACATATCTACAACAAAAATTAAGTATCTTCAGGTATAGTATCAACATATATATATATGATAAATATGAAGCCTCATCAATTCTTTGCTTCCGATCCCCTCCTGTGGCGGCTGCAAAGGCCGCATGGAGCTCAGGCAGCCCGGCCGCGTTGCGAATCCATGGCCTTTGGAGTTCTCTGGACCCGTGAAGGATAGGCACCCGGTCCAAATCAGGGGATTTTTCACTGGATTTATGAGGTAGTTCATCGATTTAGCGAAGTTAGGTATTGTAACATTTTTTTCACTATGTCAGTTGGGTTTACTACTCTGGAAATTGCAACTCTATTTTTCACGACTATTTAGTAGGAAAAGAATTACTTTATTACTAGTTCAATTCAATGCCAGAAAGATTATAAAGATTCGCTGAATTTACCACCATTCTACTGGGATTTGTACCATGAATACATGCTAGTTATGAAATAGCTCAGGCATATTCATAGGAAAGTGCACAAAAAAGGTGTGAAACGTGTACTTTTGTCCTTTCAAACCAAGTCTGGGAAGTCAGGACACGGAGGCAAGACCCATAAAAAATGTGTCTCTGAAAATGTTCACGGAACCCAAAATCCACGGACTTATCATCAGTTTCCCCACACAAACAGCAATTTCAGCATATGCAATGTCCCGGGTTTTCAAGGAGGGCCGCAAAAAGATGTTTTTCTGTTCACTAGGCCTAGGCTTTGGGCGCTTCAACTTCCCTCAGTTTCCTTCAAAGGTCCACCAGTTCAGGCTCGGGTCCCATAAGATTGGATATAACCCCATCCACTTTGTTCTCACTGAACTTCCGGTCAAGACATGGTATCTTAGGGTATGGTCATCCATTTCATAAGAATCCTTACAAAAACAGATTTTTTTCAAGGCCTGGAACCATGGATGACCATGCCCCAACTACAACGTGTCCCCTTTCCGGTGCCATACGCACCCGGCCGCCTGAATTGACCACGCAGAGAGTTTGTAGAAGGGACGCCTGGGTGGATGTTTTTTACGTCCCACTTGGATGTGGATCCCCAGATATGTGGGATGTGTGAAATATCTATCTATATTCTCATATTGTCTATATATAATACATTAAATTATCAATCTATATATCAAATTTATCTATGTAATGTAATATATATATGTATATATATATATATATTATTATTATATTACTATATTATATATATATTGTATATATAAATGATATTATGATGATATACATGTGTATATATATATATAGTATTGCATTTCATGTGTATTTATAACTGCAGTATCTGGTGATTAGTTATTACCCACTACGTGCGATGCACCACCCTGCGTGCCGTTGAACTGACTCAGAGCCTGGCCTTGATGGCTCTAAACCATGGCCAGCGCCACCATGTGCCGCTGCAAGTATGCTTAACATGGTATGTTGGGTATACATTATAATCCCTCTGAAAAATATGAATGTCCGTTGGGATTATTATTCCCAATATATGGAAAAATGTTCCAAACCATACATTATATCATGGGTTTGTCTGAAAATAGTGTATCTCAAATTCCAATGGATTATCGCCATGTTCCCCATCAAAATTTCTATTTGTGGGTATCCCCTATTTTCAGACAAACCCGTATGCACATATACTTACTTACCAGTAAGATGAAGGTTAAAAATTTACTCTTCAGACCCAGTAACCACTTATTTCCAGTTCTTCTAACCAATTTCGTATAAACCCAACTTGCTATAGTTGGGTTCTCTGGGGTGAAACGACTGGAAATAGACATGGCTCTTCAGCGATGACACTGACAAGTGGTGTGTGGTCGCAAAGCCTATTGAAAAAGAAGAAACACCTTACCCTCTGGTAAACAAACATAGCTATTGAAAATGGCCATTCATAGTTGATTTACCCGTTAAACATTGTGATTGTCCATAGTTATGTTATGTTAGTTTACCGGTAAACCCAACTTAATGGGGGTCACTCGGTTACTGGAGGTCAGCTTCCGCCATTCAGCCCCCATCACGCCATGGCCGCCATGCTGCTTCTTCCAGGCAGAGCGGGATCCGCTGTCACCAAGTCCGAGTCCGGATCCGCACGACTGTCCAGGAGGCACCTCGAGCTTTCGGGGCTTAGATCTCCACAGCAAGGCATGGCACCAAACAGGATCTGGATGGTACCCTAAGATAGCTGGGATTTATGGATGATTCCCCCAGTAAAAGTATGGTAAAAATATGTCAAAATGTGTTCAAAATACCCATCCCCACAGTTTGGAAAGCTCCACTTTTTCTGGGTGCAATCTCTATGTTTTGTAACGATGCAAATCTGTTCAAGGCACTCCTGCAGCATGTGGAAGAGGTGCGGATAGCAGGGTAGCACCCCAGTCTCCTTGCATCCGTGTGGGCTTCGGACCCTGAACCCAGAAACCAAGGGAGAATTCTGTGATTCAATAGCAATTTCATGGGGTAAAAAAGCGGTACATAGCAATGAGATTTACTTTCATGAGATTTAACCAACCATTATGTATACATAGTACATAGCAACGTGGGGATACCTTCTGGCTTGGGAGAAAACTATCCCATATGCTCCATGGTGCTGGATAGAATTTTGACCTACTTCTGTTCTTGCTATTTTTGGGGTAAACGACTTGCAAGAAGCCTATGATAGTTGAGCATTACAGAAACCATCTCCACAGACATTTGAGGAACGGGTGATCTTTGGGAATTCCTTTTTGACAAGTCTGCCTTTAAAAGCCGCCAAGGTGAGCCTGCCGCTGGAACTTCTTTGCTCTCACAGGATGTCTCTCAACCAAGCCTTGAGATTTTGCTTGGGGGCGATTCGCTCCGGATCTTTGCCAGGAAACGGACCACCTCAGAATGACCCCTTTGAGATGCGAGATCCAGAGCAGTGCTTCCACTGCGTAGAGTTGCGTGACTATCTGCGCCTCTTTCAATCAGAAAGCGAACAATTTCAACATGGCCACTTTCTGCCGCAGCATCAAGATGGCCTTCTTGTGCTGCCATGATTAATGGCGTTGCGCCATCGTTCCTGGTTTGATCTTTGTGGGCACCGACTTCCACCAAATGACGAACAACATCAAGATGGCCTTCTTGTGCTGCCATGAACAATGGCGTTGTGCCATCGTTCGTGGCTTGATCTTTGTGGGCACCAACTTCCACCAGATGACGAACGACATCAAGATGGCCTTCCTGTGCTGCCATGAACAATGGCGTTGCGCCATCGTCCGTGGTTTGATCTTTGTGGGCACCAACTTCCACCAGATGACGAACGACGTCAAGATGGCCTTGGTGTGCTGCGATGAGCAATGGTGTTTCACCATTAACGTTTGCTTGATCTTTGTCGGCACCTGCTTCAATCAACAACTGCAGGCTTTCAACATGTCCTCTTTTTGCGGCACAGTGCAACGGTGTTGTGCCATGTTCGTCTCTCACATTTGGGTTCAAAGGTTTTTTTCAGCAAACTCTCAAGTTCAATCAATTCATTGTTGGTGGATGCAGAGATCATGCGTTGGGTTTGCTCAACATCCGTTTGGAAAAACTCCAAGATCACAAGCATAAGCTTCACTGGAGACGAAGCAAAAATCTCATCATCCGGGATCTCGGAAACATCTTCTGAAAAAAGTCTTTGTCTGAAAATGCTGACATCAATCCTTGGGTTTGCTGTCCAGGAACCTCAAAAATTAAAAAACACAAACATATTCCTTTCATCGATTCCCTAAGTAGTGTGGATTTTCCGGTGGGAAAATGAAAAATAATCAGCAAATCTAAGAATCTTAGTGGCTAAGACTTGCTTCACAGCCTTTGCAGTTTTTCCTTCGAATTCATCAGGGGCAAGGACTGCCAGCGTTGCACCTGAAGCGAGGAAGCACACCTCCATCGCGCTGATCGCTCAAAGCCAAGCAGCAGGCTGTATGGAATGTGGGAACAATTGCCCCAGCACTTTACAATCCGTCAAGAAAGAGACATGTGATTATTGATTTTTTGATGTGTTGCTTCAATAATTTGCGATCATCACCCTACATTTTAACATATTTTAACCACTATTGGCCCCAAGATGTCATGTGTTTGGATCTCCACCCGGACCGGAGACACCTTGATTGGATTCATCCTGACGATAGGATCAGGTTCCATGATGCCGCTGGGAATTCAATGATAATTCTGAATCAATATCCATGCTATTCTCAGTTATACCGTTATAATCCGTTATACCTCATCAAATACTTGTACATATGTACAACAAAAATTAAGTATCTTCAGGTATAGTATCAATATTTATATATATATCTCTCTCTCTCATATATCTACATATAGTTATACCTGATAAATCTGAAGCCTCATCAATTCTTTGCTTCCGATCTCCTGCGGCTCCAAAGGCCGCATGGAGGTCAGGTTGAAGCGCAACGCGAATCCATGGCCTTGGATAGGCACCCGGTCCAAATCAGGGGATTTTTCACTGGATTTATGAGGTAGTTCATCGATTTAGCGAAGTTGGGTATTGTAACATATTGCAAGATATGTTTCCACTATGTCAGTTGGGTTTACTACTCTGGAAATTGCAACTCTATTTTTCACGACTATTTAGTAGGAAAAAATACAACTTATTACTATTTCAATTCAATGCCAGAAAGATGATAAAGATTCAGAAAACGTCGCATTTACCACCATTCTACTGGGATTTGTTCGCAAAATGCTGCATCTTTTTGGGGTTGTTATAGGTAAGAACCATATGGTATATTTGGGTTGTCCCGGCTGATTCCTTGTGTCTATGTACCATGAATACATGCTAGTTATGAAATAGCTCAGGCATATTCATAGGAAAGTGCACAAAAAAGGTGTGAAACCTGTACTTTTGTTTGTCCTGTCAAAACAAGTCTGGGAAGTCAGGACACGGAGCATATGCAATGTCCCGGGTTTTAAAGGAGGGCCGCAAAAAGATGTTTTTTCTGTTCGCTAGGCCTAGGCTTTGGGCCCTTCAACTTCCCTCAGTTCCCTTCGAAGGTCCACCAGTTCAGGCGCGGGTTCCCATTATCAAATTCAACGAATTATCCCAGATGCTCCAAGGCTCACTAAATCGTTCTAAATCCATTGGGTTCAAGGGAAACTTTGCCGGAAACCGTGAAATTTAATGTGATTTTGGCTGGTTGGTGGTATACCTACCCCTCTGAAAACTATGAGTTCGTCAGTTGGGATCATGACATTCCCAATAATATGGAAAAATCAAAGTCATGTTCCAAACCACCAATCAGTTATATATAATATTCTATAAGTATCCCCATTATTCCAAAAAAAGTATCCCAATGTTCTCCCCATTTTTAAACCATACAAAACCATCATGAAATCCAGATGGCTTTTTTCCGAGCCAACCATGTCTTGGGGAACCGCCGATACCCGGGATGCCAAGCCCGGCTCGCGCCAAATCTGTAGCGGCAAATGTGGCCTCGGCGGTGATCAACGGTGATCAACTGAAGCTGAAAGCCATGGATTTATAAAACACCAAATTTGCCAGTGGTGTTAATATCCATCAATAGTGATTTATATATCTATTTTCTAGTGATTAATGGGATTCATATGGATTTACCATCTGGTTCTTTGTTACATAGCCATGGAAAATCCCGTAAATAAATGGAGGTATATAGCTGGGAAAATCCTCTATAAAACACCAAAAATTTGCCATGGATTGTTAACTTTTAGTAATGAGCAGGTATTGGCAAATAGGTATCTTTACTATTTACTATTTGCCAAAGAGTTTACTTTTAATCCAACATTTACTCGGGATTGTCAAAGCAAAACCAATAGTTAGTAAAGCAACCTATTTTTCCGTAAAGCCAATGGTGATTTAACTTTTTATTGAAAGCAATGTTAGTAAAGCAATAGTTAACCGCCCCAAAATTTACCATGGATTGTCAAAAATCAAAAAACATAAAATAAATACTATTTATGTGGTTTATTCTTGCTTTACTAACGTTAGCCATATATAGCATCCAAAATTGATGGTTTAAAATGGAAATCCCAATCTAAATTGGATGATGTGGGGGTACCACCATTTTAGGAAACCTTCATATATAGCAAATGAACTTCATCCAGTATCCATGGATTCATTTCAGGGCAAATGAAACCGGGAAATCAGATCTTTATCCTCAAACATTCTGATATCCAATCAATTTCCCCTGAAAAATGCTGCCATGTTATCATAGCACTGTGGATATTGATGGCCAAAAAGCTATATTTATGGCCATGTTTCAAGTTTGACACTTCATTTTGGGTGGTTTTCCGGATCTATGATTTCCTCCAATCTTTCTAAAAAAAAATGGTGGATCTCCAAGTGACCATGGTCGTTTCAATCATAAAAATGCTCCAATGACTTGGATGATGGCACCATGACTCAAGCAACGCTCATCCGGGGGGCGCTGGGGTAAACGTTTTACATGTGGAACATGGCCCATTTAGTTCGATGATTACCTATCTGGTTGGTGGTTGAGCCCCTACCCCTCTGAAAAATCATGGAGTTCGTCAATTAAGGGAGTCATAGGGAGTCTATAAATTCCCAATATGATGGGAAAGTCATAAAATTCCATGGTTCCAGTCACCACCAACCAGCTATAATAAAAGGTGGCATAAAAAGATGGTGAAGTTGCACATCGTAAACGTTTACACAGCAGACTCGATTTTCCAGTTCCAGTTTTGACCCACAAGATTTTGGACACCTCGAAGATTTTTTGGGGGGTTGGCTGCGGTTGGCTTTGACCCGCACGTGGGGAAGCATTTCAAAGGTCAGCAACCGAAAATCAACCAAAACTGCCCCGAAAGTCAGGTGATGCTGGGAATTTCTGGTACGAAATTCCAAGACCTTTCGCACCCCATTTATCATGAAGTCACCCTGCAAGGCACAACGCGATTTGGGGAAATAACCATCCATTAACCAGCTATTTTAGGGTATCTAGGGTACCAGGGTTTTGGGCTAGCAGGTTACATTTTTTTTCCATATACTTTCTGAGATACAACACCCGAACCAGCGAAAGCCAATCGGCTCATTGCTATAGATGTTCTTTGGGAGGTGGTTTGGGCCGTGAAACGGTGTTTTGGGCCGTGAAACGTTTGGGCCATACGTTCGGCTTTTATATCAAAAAGCTGGGTTTTCCTGTGGTTTCCCTATGGTTTTACCATCGTCTCAAGGAGGTTCCTGGGCAACATCTCACCTGCCTTGATCGCAGATCAACTGAAGTGCTGCCGCCAGAGCGGAAACCACGCGCTCGGCGCACTTGTTTCCTTACGGAGATGAAGAATGTCAACTCAGGACTAGTAAACTCTTGATTATTTCAATGGGAATTTCAGGATCCTAAAATGGAGGTATTGTACCATGTGAGGCCATATTTTGCTGGGATATTCCCTTACATAGGCCTTATACATGGTAGGTACCTCCAATTTAGGTTCCTGAAATGGCCATTGATTGATAAGGAATGTCATGTTTTTCTGTTTGAATAGCATTGCTTTGGGGGGCACAACCCCTTTTACTAGTCACTGAGAGCTTGGTTGTATCCATGACGGCAGCTAGTCTCTGCACTCAACCCATCTGTGGTACGAGAAAAAAACAGGAATAGTCGTCCCCTGCACACTGTATACCCGTTGAATCGACAAGGTGCATCATTTTGAGATGCACAAAATGCATGGCTGCAGCATTTTGAAGAAGGTGTCCACAGTACCAAGTATCTTCCAAGTTTCTGCTCACATTATGACTTTGATCAGATATAACTTATTATAATGAAGTACTAAGAATCCCATTGCTAACAATAAGTTTATCCACATGGTTAGAACCACTTTCATTTGCACCGCTGACCTTCCTCGAAAGCACTACCAAGTGGCCCACCGTGGTTTGAAGACAAAGCATCGGTCGCCTGCAGCAAATGTCCGGACCCGATTGCAGAGGGCTGAACTGGTGAAGATTAATTGAACCGGTCAGGAAGAGCGAGAAAAACCTGGAGAATCATCAAAACTGCTGAAGATATAAGCAGTGAGCCAAGTGATAAGCCGTATCAGAAATCAGGGACTTACTAGGCTTCTTCACAAGTTTCTACATGGTATGATTTGCTAACCACCCAGATTTCAGATTCCGGGTTTCCCCTGTGGTCCGGTCGGTCCCCAACACTGCAGATTTGGGTATGTTGAGAAATGGCTTTCTCAGAAGTCAAGTTGGATGAGACTGAGATGCTATGGAAATTGGATCACTTACCATCTGGTTATGACTAACATAGCCATGGAAAATCACCATTTTTAATAGGTAAACCATCTATAAATAGGCCATTTTCCCTGGCTATGTTAAATAACCAGATGGTATATCAAAATTGGCACTGGCACATCACCCATCATCAAGACTTCGATTCTACAGCCTGTTAGATCATTTTGACACCCCCTGAAGTTGACGAATCCAAAAAATCGGCCGCCGCCTCTGACAACGATCCATGCCCATCATTTCCTTGGCTGTCGCCACTGCCTCCCGCTGCAAAGAAATATCCTGGCGAGTTGAAAGCTGAGCCTACTCAGGCTGCGATTTGTAACTGCAAAATGAATGATGATTCATGGCGAATACGGAAGAATCATCAAGACTTGGGGGAGTAACAATCGAAAATGAAATGAAGTTTGATGGTGAAATAGTAAAACGAGCACCCTGATTGATGAGCTATCTAAATGATTTTCAATGGAGAATTGATGATCATTTATAATGGTATTGACCAGCAAACATATGGGACATCGTGGAGAAATTACAGTTGGTTGATGAGTAGTTCTGGGGTTATGCTATCCGCTACGTTCGAAATCATTATGATCCTGCACCTGGGAATTCTGGGAATGGGAAGCAGTTCCACAACAAAAACGTCCCCAAGAATCAGGCTATGAAGAATTCCATGACAGCCACGTTACTATTCAGAAAAAGGATGAAAAAGGCTTCTGATTGTGTGTGCCCCACTCAGAAACTGAAAAAACTGCTATCTCCCCATACATGGCCTTGTCTGGAACTATTTGGACCCCAAGTCAAAAAGGATTACACTACAATCATCGCTCTATTCACCCGTCAATTGTCCCCATCGAAATGGCAATCGAAATGGGGGTACACCCCGGTATATGGGACAAAGCCATAGGGTCTATGGATCCGGGTTTGACACATGGGGCTTTGTCTATATGAAGATAGGTTCTGGATGAATTACAGGCAATCTGTCGGGACTTATGGGGATGTAGCGGAGATATCACTAACCAATGCGCAATGCTTCCAAGAAAATAATCTATTACATCCCACTCTCTCCCAGTATCGCTGGTACATATCATATCCCATAACCTTTGTGCTGAAATCCAATGTGTTTAGGCATACCCAGCAACATATGGGTTTTTTTCACACAAAGTTGGGGTGCCACAAATTTCACAATTGCGTTCCCCTTGTCAAAAATGACTAGTTCAACTCGGGCTGTAATTTGGGGTCCTCCATGACTTAGGTCATGCATGTCCCATTCATATCTCATACAGTTCATCATGTCTCGTCCATATTATACTTTTTGTACCCCGATATTTCCCACATCATAATTCTGACCCACTATTGACCTCAATGTCAAGCTAATATTGAGTTATATCATGTTATATCACCAATATTAACCACTATTTTACCCACTATTGGTTACTATTACCCAATATTCACCAATATTCACCAATATTAGGTAACCAATAGTGAGTAAAATAGTGCTGATATTCCAATAGTAACAATATGTAACAATACTACCTTGAAAATGGTTACTTTACCCACTATTGGTTTCTATTCACCAGTATTAACTGGCTATTTGACAATTCGCCATGGTATAGTTGGCCCATTGAAATAGATGGTTTACCGAACTTAATAGCATGGTGACTTCCCATGGCGCACTGTTAGTCATAACCAGATGGTAACTGGAAGATGTTAGATCATTTAACGGATCAAAAACATTGGATTTGACCATGGTTACTTTACCCACTATTGCTTACCCTCTGGTAAACTAACATAGCTATGGAAAATCACCATTTTTTATAGAAAAATACACTATAAACGGCCATTTTCAATAGCTATGTTAAATTACCAGAGGGTACTATTCACCAGTATGAACTCTTCAAAGGTGCGGCACATCCCACATTTTTCGGTCCTGCAGCGTGGCCAAAGGGATGCGTCGGAGCACGTCCAGGAGCAAGGCACATTGGTCGCTGGTCAATAGGCTCCACAGGGGATCAACGCGTGTCCTGGGCCAAGGGGTTACCCGGTCTGGTAAACATAATAAACATACAAAAAACGATGGAAGAAACACCATGTTTCATGGGAAAATCCACTATGTCTATGGCCATTCCATGGAAAATCACTATTATATCTATTATTAATGGGTAAATCCACTATTTTGGATGGGGCCTCCAAGATAGCTAAGTTGGTTTATAAGTGGCTGAATTCAATGGTTAATGGTAGATATAACGAACTAGTTAATGGGGATTATAATGGTTGATAAACCAACTTGTAACTGGAGGGGCCCATCCTGTCTGGAAAAACAATGTTTTATGGGTAAAACAACTATTTCTATATATTTCTGTGACGGCCATTTTCAATAGCTATATTAGTTGGCAAATGGGTTATACCCCAATTGGATTAATCTGGGTAAATTATCATATTTCACTCACCTGAATGAATTGCGGCCATAAAAGGGGATCATTTCCCCTATAAAAACCCATGGATTTCCGGGCTTCGGGAGAACAGGCTTCGGTCGTGATGAAATTTACCCAGATGAATAGAATCTCCGCACATAGAGGATGAATTTGGCTCATTTGGCGGATTCACCACGGATCCGATAGGCCGCGCACATCAGATGACATCCCTTGGGTATGGCACCATGGCACCATGGCACCGTACTCGGATGGTACCCAGATGGTACCCCATAGCGATTTACGGATCTTTATTCACGTTGATTCTCCTTTTAAGATGGTGGCTATGTATATAGGTGTTGACCCATGGCCCATACCCCTATCATTGGATTGGTTTTCTTGGGAAAAAGGGAAAATTCAAACCGGAACCCCCTATACGTGATGGAGAAAACCCATGGTTTTTGGAGTTTCCGGTGAAGATTTTCCAAAGAAAACCAATTAAGTGATGATACCGGCAGCTTTGCGAAGCCAAAAAAACATTTTTATTGGGGAGGTTACTACTCCAAGAACTGACATCAACCTTCACATCACCCCGCATTTTAACCACTATTGGCCTTTATATAACCCACTGTAACCACTATTTAACCAAGATGTCATGTGTAGATCTCCACCCGTCAGTGACACCTTAATTGGATTCATCCTGCGGTAGATTGCCCACAGCAGATGGAAGCAAGATCACTGCAACAAACTCAATACCTGTTTTTCCCTAAGCAACACCAAGAGTTGTTTCTGAACCAATCTCAAGCTTCCAAAAAGTTGGGTCTAGGAATTGATGCAGGCGACTTGCAGGAAGCCTATGATAGTTGAGCATTACAGAAACCACCTCCACAGACATTTGAGGAAAGGGTGATCTTCTGGAATTCCTTTTTGACAAATCTGTCTTTAAAAGCCACCAAGGTGAGCCGGCTGCTGGAACGTTTTTTGCTCTCACATGATGTCTCTCAACCAAGCCTTGGAATTTTGCTTGGGGGCGATTCGCTCCGGATCTTTGCCAGGAAACGGACCACCTCAGCACGACCTTTTTGAGATGCCAGATCCAGAGCACTTCTTCCACTGCGTGTAGTTGCGTGACTATCTGCGCCTCTTTCAATCAGAAAACGAACAATTTCAACATGGCCCATTTCTGCCGCAGCATGTAAGGCTGTTTCCACAGTATCCCTAGTTCCCTCATTTTTGCGAGCGCCAATATCAACCAAATGCCGAACCACATCAAGATGGCCTTGATGTGCTGCGATAAACAATGGCGTTGCGCCATCGTTCCTCGCTTGATCTTTGTGGGCACCAACTTCCACCAAATGACGAACGACATCAAGATGGCCTTCTTGTGCTGCCATGAACAATGGCGTTGCGCCATCGTTCCTCCTCGCTTGATCTTTGTGGGCACCAACTTCCACCAAATGACGAACGACATCAAGATGGCCTTCCTGTGCCGCGATGAACAATGGCGTTGTGCCATTCTCCCAGGCTTGATCTTTGTGGGCACCAACTTCCACCAAATGACGAACGACATCAAGATGGCCTTTCTCTGCTGCGATGAACAAAGGCGTTGCGCCATTGTTCTTGGCTTGATCTTTGTGGGCACCAACTTCCACCAAATGACGAACGACATCCAGATGGCCATACTTTGCTGCGACAAACAATGGTGTTGCGCCATTGTTCATGGCTTGATCTTTGTGGGCACCAACTTCCACCAAATGACGAACGACATCAAGATGGCCTTCTTGTGCTGCCATGAACAATGGCGTTGCGCCACCGTTCCCGGCTTGATCTTTGTGGGCACCAACTTCCACCAGATGACGAACGACATCAAGATGGCCTTCCTGTGCTGCGATCCACAGTGGTGTTTCACCATCGTTCGTGGTTTGATCTTTGTGGGCACCAACTTCCACCAAATGACGAACGACGTCAAGATGGCCTTGGTGTGCTGCGATGAACAATGGTGTTTCACCAATAACGTTTGCTTGATCTTTGTCGGCACCTGCTTCAATCAACAACTGCAGGCTTTCAACATGTCCTCTTTCTGCGGCACAGTGCAACAGTGTTGTGCCATGTTCGTCCCTCACATTTGGGTTCAAAGGTTTTTTCAGCAAACTCCCAAGTTCAATCAATTCATTGTTGGTGGATGCAGAGATCATGCGTTGGGTTTGCTCAGCATCCGTTTGGAAAAACTCCAAGATCACAAGCATAAGCTTCACTGGAGACGAAGCAAAAATCTCATCATCCGCGATCTCGGAACCATCTTCTGAAAAAAGTCTTTGTCTGAAAATGCTGACATCAATCCTTGGATTTGCTATCCAGGAACCTCAAAAAATAAAAAACACAAACATATTCCTTTCATCTTTTCCCTAAGTAGTGTGGATTTTCCGGTGGGAAAATGAAAAATAATCAGCAAATCCAGGAATCTTACTGGCCAAGACTTGCTTCACAGCCTTTGCAGTTTTTCCTTCGAATTCATCAGGGGCAAGGACTGTCAGTTCTGCACCTGAAGCGAGGAAGCACACCTCCATCGCGCTGATCGCTCAAAGCCAAGCAGCAGGCTGCATGGAATGTGGGAACGATTGCCCCAGCACTTTACAATCTGTCAAGAAAGAGACATGTGATTATTGATTCAGAATGTTTTGCTTCAATAACTTGCGATCATTGACCCACGAAAGTAGTCCCCAATTGAAAGATGTGTGTTTGGATCTCCACCCGTCGGTGACATCTTGATTGGATTCATCCTGCAGAACGATAGGATCAGGTTCCATGATGCCGCTGGGAATTCAATGATAATTCTGAATCAATATCCATGCTATTCTCAGTTATACCGATATAATCCGTTATACCTCATCAAATACTTCTACATATCTACAAGAAAAATTAAGTATCCTCAGGTATAGTATCATATATATATATATGATATATGATATATGATAAATATGAAGCCTCATCAATTCGTTGCTTCCGATCCCCTCCTGTGGCGGCTGCAAAGGCCGCATGGAGGTCAGGCAAAGGCCGCGTTGCGAATCCATGGCCTTGGATAGGCACCCGGTCCAAATCAGGGGATTTTTCACTGGATCTATGAGGTAGTTCATCGATTTATGATAGCGAAGTTGGGTATTGTGACATAGTGTAACATCTTTTTCACTATGTCACTTGGGTTTACTACTCTGGAAATTACAACTATTTTTTCACGACTATTTAGTAGGAAAAGAATTACTTTATTACTATTTCAATATAAGAACAAGAAAGATGATAAAGATTCAGAAAACGTTGAATTTACCACCATTCTACTGGGATTTGTTCGCAAAATGCTGCATCTTTTTGGGGTTGTTATAGGTAAGAACCATATGGTATATTTGGGTTGTCCCGGCTGGTTACTTTGTGTCTATCTACCAAGAATACATGCTAGTTATGAAAAAGGTTCAGGCATATTCATAGATTGGTCTCGTTGTGATGTTTGAAAGTGCACAAAAGGTTTGAAACCTGTATGTTTGTCCTTTCAAACCAAGTCTGGGAAGTCAGGACACGGAGGCAACGGAGGCAAGACCCATATGGGTGTCTCTGAAAATGTTCACGGAACCCAAAATCCACGGACTTATCATCAGTTTCCCCACACAAACAGCAATTTCAGCATATGCAATGTCCCGGGTTTTCAAGGAGGGCCGCAAAAGATTTTTTCTCACTTTCTAGGCTTTGCTATGGGCACCTCGAGATCTCCACGGCTATGCTATCGGCACCAAACAGGATCCGGATGGTACCCTAAGATAGCTGGGATTTATGGATGATGCCCCCAGTAAAAATATTTTAAAAATATGTAAAAATGTGTGAATTGACCCATCCCCACAGTTTGGAAAGCTCCACTTTTTCTGGGTGAAATCTCCATGTTTTGTAACGATGCAAATCTGTTCAAGGCACTCCTGCAGCATGTGGAAGAGGTGCGGATAGCAGGGTAGCACCGCAGTCTCCTTGCATCCGCGTGGGCTTCGGACCCTGAACCCAGAAACCAAGGGAGAACTCTGTGAATTAGCAATTTCATGGGGTTTAACGGTACTTTAATGAGATTTACTTTCATGAGGTTTGACCAACCATTATGTATACATAGTAGTACATAGCAACGTGGGGATACCTTCTGGCTTGTGGGGAGAAAACTATCCCATATGCTCCATGGTGCTGGAATATTGACCTACAATTTCTTGCCTTTTTTGGGGTAAACGACTTGCAAGAAGCCTATGATAGTTGAGCATTACAGAATATTACAGAAACCATCTCCACAGACATTTGAGGAACGGGTGATCTTTGGGAAATCCTTGTTGACAAGTCTGTCTTTAAAAGCCGCCAAGGTGAGCCTGCCGCTGGAACTTCTTTCTCTCAACCAAGCCTTGGGATTTTGCTTGGGGGCGATTCGCTCCGGATCTTTGCCAAGAAACGGACCACCTCAGAATGACCGCCTTGAGATGCCAGATCCAGAGCAGTTCTTCCACTGCGTGTAGCTGCGTGACTATCTGCACCTCTTTCAATCAGAAACGAACAATTTCAACATGGCCACTTTCTGCCGCAGCATGTAAGGCTGTTTCCGCAGTATCCCTAGTTGCCTCATTTTGGCGGGCGCCAACCTCTACCAAGTGACGAACGACATCCAGATGGCCTTTCTCAGCTGAGACGCACAGTGGTGTTTCACCATAGTTCGTGGCTTGATCTTTGTGGGCACCAACTTCCACCAGATGACGAACGACATCAAGATGGCCTTGCTGCATGTGCTGCGACGGACAATGGCGTTGCGCCATCGTTCCGTGCTTGATCTTTGTGGGCACCGACTTCCACCAAATGACGAACAACATCAAGACGGCCTTCTTGTGCTGCGATGAACAATGGTGTTGCGCCAAAGTTCGTGGCTTGATCTTTGTGGGCACCGACTTCCGTCAAATGACGAACGACATCAAGATGGCCTTCCTGTGCTGCGACAAACAATGGTGTTGCGCCATAGTTCGTGGCTTGATCTTTGTGGGCACCAACTTCCACCAGATGACGAACGACATCCAGATGGCCTTCCTGTGCTGCGACAAACAATGGTGTTGCGCCATCGTTCCTCGCTTGATCTTTGTGGGCACCAACTTCCACCAGATGACGAACGACATCAAGATGGCCTTCTTGTGCTGCCATGAACAATGGCGTTGCGCCATCGTTCAGTGCCTGATCTTTGTGGGCACCAACTTCCACCAAATGACGAACGACATCAAGATGGCCTTCCGCTGCTGCGCTGAACAATGGCGTTGCGCCATAGTTCGTGGCTTGATCTTTGTGGGCACCAACTTCCACCAAATGACGAACGACATCAAGATGGCCTTCCTGGGCTGCAACGAACAATGGTGTTTCACCAATAACGTTTGCTTGATCTTTGCCGGCACCTGTTTCAATCAACAACTGCAGGCTTTCAACATGTCCTCTTTCTGCGGCACAGTGCAACGGGGTTGTGCCGTGTTCGTCCCTCACATTTGGGTTCAAAGGTTTTTTCAGCAAACTCTCAAGTTCAATCAATTCATTGTTGCTGGATGCAGAGATCATGCGTTGGGTTTACTCAGCATCCGTTTGGAAAAACTCCAGGATCACAAGCATAAGCTTCACTGGAGCCGAAACAAAAATCTCATCATCCGGAATCTCGGAACCATCTTCTGAAAAGAGTCTTTGTCTAAAAATGGTGACATCAATCTTACCTGCCAAGACTTGCTTCACAGCCTTTGCAGTTTTTCCTTCAAATTCATCAGGTGCAAGGACTGCCAGTTCTGCACCTGAAGCGAGGAAGCACACCTCCATCGCGCTGATCGCTCAAAGCCAAGCAGCAGGCTGCATGGAATGTGGGAACGATTGCCCAAGCACTTTAAAATCCGTCAAGAAAGAGACATGCGATTATTGATTTTTTGATGTGTTGCTTCAATAATTTGCGATCATCACCCTACATTTTAACCACTATTGGCCTTTATATAACCCACTGTAACCACTTGCAAAAGCAACTGGCGCAGAGACACCTGTTTTGCGCGATGCGCGGCTTGAGCCACCATTGTGGCAGTCAGGGTCACATCCGGGTCTGTGCTGGATGTATGCAGAAATGACATGTGCTGACATCAGATTTCACACCCATGGTCTTTTTCAGGCCCAGGATGTGTCGCTACTTTGTTTCTCTGCCGTGCCATTGCCTTCTTGCTGTTTTCCTTGTTCATGTCAAAGGCTAGGGTGCCCTTTTGTTGCAGAGCTTCCATCTGGTCGCATCTCATCTTCTTGGTAAGGCAGTCGGCAACCATTGTTTTGGTTTCCACCCACATGGCTCGGGTGGAGGCATCTTTTGGTACATGATCTCCATAGAGTGGGTCGCCATTCTCTTCACCAGGTTGGCGCCAGAGAACTTGGCGCAGGTAGCTAAGGTCAATGGCCAACCTCTTGTCACCTGTGGTTCCTGTTCCAGCTTGGTGCAAATGGGCTTCCAAGCTTCGACAGTCAGTGAACTGGTAGAGGTTGATGGAGTCCATGGCTGGAATCTTCCAGTCGTGCCCTTGATGGTCATGTCGTAGACCGTGCAGCACGCTCCTCAGGTGTTCAGCTTCTTCGTAGCACTGAACCATCGAGAGCGTCTCAGACTGCAAGGTGCTTCGGAAAACACGCCGGATCACATTGGAGTGGTACTCAATGGGGTGCACCACGCCAGATCCATTCTTCACAAAGTCAGGTCCAGCCAAGCAAATCAGGCGGCCAGACTGGGATCGATGTCCAAGGGTCTTACCAGACTTCGATTCTTCCGCATCAGCTGCATGAGAGGCATCGGAGATACTCAAAATCACCGCGTGGTCAAAGTCAAAAGCGTCGTGCTTGTAGAACAGTCCAATTTCAGGCGTGGCCTGAACATGTCGCATCAGGCTGTTGCAGTCTATGAGGTCCTGCACCATCGCCTTCTTCTGAACTGTCTGAAGGGCAGAGAGTTGATAGGCGATGTCAGGCCTGCAAACTCGTGCTACCCAATTCAAGCTTCCCAGAATGCTTCTCAGTTGGTTGATCTCTGCATCAGTCGCTGGAGCATCTCGGTGTTTCTTCCGAGACATAGTCAAAGGAATAGGTCGGAGCTTCGCTGCAGTGTTGGGGCAAGTGACTGCGATCCCGTCAGCACGCTGTGCAATCTGACGGCCGCACCAGGTGAAATCATCACCATCATCCAAGCTCCCAAAACGCAGCTTGTCTTGCATGTTCTTCATCACCTGTTGCATGGTGTCGTCTCCACACCATAGCAAATCATCCACATGAGCAACCATGATTCCGGAAATGCCTCCGGAGGAGTTGCGAAGCACGTAGGCTGCTTCTTCATGAGGAACAGCATTCAGCCCTTCTTCGCAAGCAGTCTTGTGAAGCTTCTTCCAAAAACCTCTTGGAGCATCTCGGGTGCCATAAACTGGTTTGTGGGCAATCATCAAACTGCCCTCTTCGACGCCTTCAATTCCATCTTTTGGAGGTGATAGGACCAAGGTCCTCGTGATGTTCTCGCCCTGGAGGAAGGCAGCTGTGATGTCGCCTCCCCGCAAACGCCATCGCTTTGAAGCAGAAACACTCAGCACCAGGGAGAACATGGGTTGACTGCATGTCGGACTGTCAGTCCTTGCATTTCCTTCAGCTTCCAAATCTCCTCTCACCACAAGTCGTGCCTTGTGGCGGTCAGGTTCCCAAGGTTGGGACTTCAGGGTGTCGACCCAACGTGTAGGGATGACTTCAGCATCAGGATGGGTCAAGAGGTACTTGGCAGCCTCAGTGGGTGACAAAACTGTCACGGCCTTGAAGTTGTTCCAGTTTGCCCATTCACGGCTTCTGGCTTCTAACATCTTGGCTTGTCGTGCATCATCTGATTTGTTGTAGTTGAGCTCCTTGGCACGAGCTGTCGCAGACTTCTTGGTTGTTCTGCGTGCTAGAAAACCAACAAAGGCTCGTGCTTCTGGTCCATCAGATGGAGCAGCAGGTTCATATCTGGGATCACGAGGTGGTGGTGATCGTGATCGTTCACGTCGTGGTGCTCGTAGAGGAATGCCATCCACTGCATCAAGTGAGCGATGCAGGGCTTGATTCAAAGGTGTAGATGCTGGGTTTCCCAGCGGTGTGTCGACACGCGTTGGTGGGACAACTTCCAGCTCAGGCTCATCAGTGGAACTGAAAATCTCAGTCGCTTGGTCTGATCCAAGCATCAAGCCAGGTGGCACAGGGATGTCGTCCATGGCATCATGGTCATTGTCCAATTCCTCAGGGATTGGAACATCCACATGTAGGTCACGTCCATCCATGAGAGCAGACTGTGCGGGCTCTTGTGGTAGGACAGGAGTCTCAGGTTCAGCAGGTGGTTCTGCTGATTCTTCAGGTGCATGGGTTCCCAAGTCAAAGAAGGGAATCTGTTCGACATCTTCAGCATTGTCGATTCCAGGAGCGCCAATCAGGTCATCGGCAAAGGGATAGTCCATCTCATCTCCGTCAGGGTCTAGGACTTCACGCCGACGTTTGCGCGATGGGCGCAGCTCCAGTGCATGCTTGGCCAAAACTTCGTTGCCTGTGGCATGCCTGAGAGATTCAATCCCAACAGTCATTGGAACACCGCCATGGATGATCCAAAGTGTTGAGCGTCCTTCTTGTCCAAGAACTCTTGCAGGACCATACCAGCGTCCATGACTTGATCTGCCCTTGCGATAAAAACAAACCAAATCACCAGCCAGGAAGGGTCCACGTGTTGGTGTGGTCTTCCGCAACATAGAGGCTCGCAGTCTCTGGGAGGCATCAACAAAGGAAAAGGCTTCTTTTGCAGCTTGTCGCAGTTGCATCTGTCTAGCAAAGGCAGTCTCACCATCGAGCACTTCCTGGTGTGTGCCCAGGAGACGTTGTGAGTCCTCTGAGGTCAGGGAGTCAACTTCAAGTGGAAGCTTGCCCAGCGTCCATTGGCTCGGTGTGAAGCCACCATGGTGAATGCGGTTGTTCTTGATGAAGACAGCCTCAGGAAGCAAGAGCTCAAAAGCTCGAAGTCCAGTCAGTTGTCTTGCTTCCACAACATGTTGTAAAAGATGTTTGAGGATGCCTCCTTGTCGCTCACCGCGTCCAAGTTGGTGATGAGCTTCAACGCCAATGAAACGCATCTGCACACCGTGGTAGGTCAGCAGCTCGGCAAAGCGGCCACGGTTGTGCAATCCACGGTCAACTATGATTGACTTTGGAGGACCAGCCCAGTTCAGCCAGACTCGCCGAAAAGCATCGGCACAGGCTCTTGATGAAGGAGCGCCACCCTTGTCAGAGACAATCTCAGCAACATGGTAAAGAGTTCCCATGTCAACTATTGAAAGGATGGTAAAGCGGTTGCCATCCACGTCTCTGATCTCAAAGCAGTCCACCGCAATCTCCACATTGAAGCGGTAGTCGCTCGGTGGACGTGTAGCTGGTCGCGGAGCAGGCTTTTTGCGCTCTTCACATGCTGGGCAACGAAAGTGCTTCAAGGCCTTGATGACCTTTGGGTCTCCACCAGACGTTCGCAAGATCCGTTGCATGGAGGACACTGACACTGAAGAATGCCCAGTCATGGTGTGCAACCTTCTCACAGCCACACGGGTGGACATAGGCAGCTGTCGCCAAACAGATCGGCTTTCTTGTAATTGTTGGCTTTCAAGAGCTTCTGCTTGGGGGTTTGCAATCTCAAGCTGTTCAGGTGATTCTTCTTGTGGTAGAAGTCCAATGGCCACATCTTCAGGAGTCTCGATGAGGTCAAGAGTGGGGAAGGGCGTTGGAGCGTCGTCATTCACAAGGATGTCTTCCTCCACAGCCTCAGCAGGAAAAGCAGATCTCGTCAGGTGGTTGTCGAGATCATTCAAGTGACACTCAATGATGTGAGTGCAAAACTCCTCAGTCCATGCTTGTGCATGCTTGCATCTCTTCCCACCTTCCAAAGGCTCGTGAAGATGGTCTTTGCTGCATTGGCCAGCCTCTTTTGCAAAACTCTTGAAGGTTGAAGAAGCGGTCACCAAGCCAGTGCGCTTCTTGTGCAAGAGGCCAGAGGTCTTGTCGCGGAGGTTGAAGGCACAAAGATCCACGTTGATCTTCTCAAGGGCTTCTCCAGTGATCTGGTCGTAGTGCTCTTCCTGATTCAAGAGCTTGTACTTGTCCATGTCATTGGTGTCCCAAATCGCTGAAGGAGCTGGATTCTCAATGAAAACTTGTCGTCCTCTTTGAAGTCGTGAACGTGCATGGCCACACATCCACTTGATGACAGGGATCCATTTCTTGCGATCTTCCATGATCTTGAGTCGGGTATCTTCTGACCTGGTCATGTTCATGTTCTGCCATGGGGACCAGGGGCCACAAACTGGCGCAAAGGTCAGAAGATATGGATCATCTCGTGCAATGCGCTCATCAGCCGCAGCACGTCCAGCAGGAGTTGTGAGGTCAAAGATTGGGTCATAGATCACGTCGATGGGCTCGCTGGTTGGGTACCCATAGGAATAGTGCGCGACGCTGGTCAGCATCGCACATCCTGCAAAAATCTCCATGAGGAAGGTCTTGCAGCCATGTGGAAGGCAAGGACGCCTTCGCAGGTACTTGGGGCAAACTTGATTCCACATCAGCTTGTCCTTCTTTGTCACCGCATCCACATTGGCCTTGGTCTTGCTGGCTTGCCCTTTGGACATGGCATGCACCTTGAGTTCATCATAGGCCAGGTATCCCAAAACATTTTCCTCAGCAGCAGGGTCTGCACCACAAGCGTGATCATCCACATCGGCAGGATCTGCACACAAGGTGTGATCATCCGCCATCGTGGGATCTGCACCTGTGGGGTGATCATCTGCCGCCTCGTCCTGAAAATCCAAAGGACGGTCTGCTGATGGGTTGCAAAGTCCAAGTCCAGCAAACCCACCAGGGAGGAGGCGAAGTCCATAAAGTCCATTGTGGGATACCATTTGCAAATCTCCACCAAGTGCCTCGCTGTGAGCCATGGCACGATTGAGGTCCAGCACAAGTCCAAGCCGACGCTGAGCCTCAAGTGAAAGCAAAAGTGGGGCGTCAGAACCTTCAAGTTCGACGCTGTGGAGAGTGCCCTTGGCCAAGGTGCCGTCAGTGAGCTCCAGGCATAGATCCAGAACTCGTGAGCCAGCCGTGGCGGTGATGCCACCAATGCCACGAAAACCACCAGCGCCATCAGGTAGAAGTTGAGGTTCATCTTGGTTGGTGGCCTTCAGGTAGCGCTTCAGCCAATGTGCACCATGACATGTTGTGTTGCACCCAGTGTCCAACACGGCAATGAGGTCGCCCTCGGAGCCATCAGAAGCGTGCTCAGAGGTTGCCATGTAGCCAGTCCTTGTAGAGGTCGTAGAGGAAGGAGTTGTTGCATGGTACATGGAGCGCTCACCAACCGTGAAGATCTTGCCATGGATGCCTTCGTGCTCGCTGATCTCCAGGAAGAGGTTCTTCAAGGATCGCATCTCTCTTGACGACTTGTCGTCAATCGTCTCCAGCACCCACATGGGTTGTTCTTGTACTTCCCAGCGCCAACATGCAAAACCGCACGTTCCCGCAGCACACGTCGAGTGCCTTGGTGTGTGACAGGGTCAGCTCGTGCAGGTGCATAGATTGGAGTTCGCACTGAAGATGGTGGCTGCGACGCATCTGAACCTTGTGAGGGCGGTTCACCATGCCAAACCTCAGCTAACCTCAAAGAAAGGGCCAAGGCTTCGATCAGTGTCCTGGAGTTGATGGTGTCTCCAGGTCCAAGTTGCATCAGCTTCATCTCAACAGCATTCTCGAAGGATCGCACTGCACCAGCGGCTTCTTCAGCAGTGAGTTCACCTCCAAGAAAATCAGCCAGGTTTGAAGTCCTTGACTGTGGCGTCTGAAAGGAGTCCACAGGGCTTGTTTGGGCATCTGGGTTCACAGGTCCAGATTGCTTGAAGCCACAATCAAGGCATGTCTTTTGCCATGTGTGTCCATTTGTTCCACGCCATGACACACGGTGATGGTAACATCCAGGTGCTTGGCGTTCTTCCACAGCTGTTGTGGGACCCCTAGAGGCAGGCTGCCCCTTGGGTAGGCTGACTTGAGGAATGCGCTCTCGCTCCAACAGAAGCTGGCAGTCCAAACATCGCAAGATTCTGTAGAACTTGTTGGTTCCCCTTGCTGTCACGCGTTCATGCTGGCAAACTGTTTGTTGATAGTTTGCTGGCTGAGGACTGAACGGTCCTTCTGCATCTCGTCCATCAGAACCTGCGGCAGGAACTTGTCGAGGCGTAGAGGAAGAAGGCGCCTGCTCAGGACGCATTGCATGCTCAGCTTGTTGGGCTCGTACAGGTAGTGGTGGAACTCCTGCAGGTAGAGCTCCACGTAGATCTTCGATCATTCCAGGTCCATCAACATCCATAGGGAGGTTGGGCTGAGACAAACGTCCAAGAGCTTGCTGCAACATCATCTCTTCCTTCTCGTCATTGGTCAGTGGCCTTTGTGGAAACATAGATGGCATCTCATGTACTCGGCCACGCATTTCTCCACGTCCAACTTCTCCATGAGGTAGGTCAACCCATTGTGGTCGATTCTCAGCTGGCACCAGTGCGTCATGTGCTGGTACCAAAGCATCATGAGGAACATGTTCATGAGGAGGTCCATGTAGAGCATGTTCATGAGGAGGAGGACCATGTAGAGCATGTTCATGAGGAGAGCCATGTGGAGCTTGTTCATGTTGTCCAGTCAAAGACGAGGGTGGAGGCACAGCATGAAAACCTTCACCACGTAGCGCCATGTAGCCATGTGATCCACCTGCATAGGAGGGCTCATGCACAGCAAAGTACACAGTGCGCGGCTTTGCTGGTGATCCCTTTGATGCCGTTGTGCTCGCCTGTGACGAAGTGCTTGTTGAGCCAGGGCGATACTTCCCCTTGCGACCACCTCCTTTTGAGCCAGGGCATTGGCTGTCGCCACTCCAGTGTCCGACAGCTCCGCATTTTCTGCATGTAGTTCGTGACTTCAAGGAGGCGATCTTGGCCTTGCGCTCTTCCAAGCTAAGACTTCCAGAAACCGAGAAGTGCTTGGGGCCAGAAGGTGGAACACGAAATCCCTTGCCCTTCTGCGCAGCACCCTTCTTCACGAAGTAGGCTTCTTGCTCAGCTTGAAGCACCTCAGCAGCGGCTTCAGCACTTTCAGGATCATCAAAATCCACTCCATCATCCACCATGAATCCGATGTGCTCCTCAATGGGGTCGATCTCGTCAGACACATAGGGCTCTTCAGGCTCGTAGGTCTCTTCAGAGAAGTCTTCAGAGTAGGCCTGGTCGTACTCCGCAGTCTCGTCAACATAGTAAGCACCATGCCACTTGCCAGATCCCTTGCGGTTCTGCTGATAGCCATAGTAGGGCTTCTTGGAGACAAAGTTGCGCGTCTTCTCGCGCTCGTGCACCCTGGAGTGTTGAGCCACCAGTTCATCGGCAACACGGTTGAAGGTGATGTCCCCTTGCAGAGCCGTTCTGACAAGTAGTTGATGGTCAGCCGAAATGTTGGCTGAAGACAGCAGTTGTTCCGCCAGCACAATGTCAGGCAGCTTCATATCCTCAGACGTGTCCACCAGGCATCGATACCAGGTGCGTCGCCTGAGAATGTAGGAGGCCATCGTCTCTCCATTCTGCCTGGACAGAATGCCATGAGGTGCCGAGCCAGCAGCATAAAGCTCTCGAGCTTGCTGTGCACGGCGAGGCTTCAATTCCTTCTCAAAGGCTCCCAGAAGCTTTTCCACTCCAGCTTCTGGCTTGCTAAGTTCATTGAAGTCTATTGTTTGAGCCACACGCAAGGCTGTGCCACTGAGGCCCTCAACAAGCCTCAAGGCGAGAGGACCAAGCTTCTTCTGCTCATCTTCGGACAGGGCTTTCTCCTTGAGCTGCTTGGCCTTCACCCTGAACACATACTCAGCCAATCGTGTTGGCTCACCATTGAAGCGTGGAATCCCCGCTTTTCCTTCTGTTCCCATCTGCGCTGACTCGTCCTCCGCTATGAAGTTCGGCCAGCGTAGAGCATCGAGAAGCGCCGACATGGCAGCGCCAGGAGTTGCGCAGGTAGCGCACCGGACAGCCCGTTTGGGCCCTTTGGAGCCGTTGCCAGCTCCGCTGCCAGTGCAAAAGCAACTGGCGCAGAGACACCTGTTTTGCGCGATGCGCGGCTTGAGCCACCATTGTGGCAGTCAGGGTCACATCCGGGTCTGTGCTGGATGTATGCAGAAATGACATGTGCTGACATCAGATTTCACACCACTATTGGCCCCAAGATGTCATGCGTTTGGATCTCCACCCGGACCGGAGACACCTTGATTGGATTCATCCTGAACGATAGGATCAGGTTCCATGATGCCGCGGATGCCGCTGGGAATTCAATGATAATTCTGAATCAATATCCATGCTATTCTCAGTTATACCGATATAATCCGTTATACCGTATACCAAATACTTGTACATATCTACAAGAAAAATTAAGTATCCTCAGGTATAGTATCAGTATATAATTATATGATATATGATAAATATGAAGCCTCATCAATTCGTTGCTTCCGATCCCCTCCTGTGGCGGCTGCAAAGGCCGCATGGAGGTCAGGCAAAGGCCGCGTTGCGATTCCATGGCCTTGGAGTTTTGGAGTTCTCTGGAGTTCTCTGGACCCGTGAAGGATAGGCGGATTTATGAGGTAGTTCATCGATTTATGAGAGAAGTTGGGTACTGTAACATAGTGTAACATTTTTTTTCACTATGTTACTTGGGTTTACTACTCTGCAAATTACAACTTTTTTTCACGACTACTTAGTAGGAAAAGAATTACTTTATTACTAGTTCAAGTCAATGCCAGAAAGATGATAAAGATTCAGAAAACGTTGAATTTACCACCATTCTACTGGGATTTGTTCGCAAAATGCTGCATCTTTTGGGGGTTGTTATAGGTAAGAACCATATGGTATATTTGGGTTGTCCCGGCTGACTCTTTGTGTCTATCTACCAAGAATACATGCTAGTTATGAAATAGCTCAGGCATATTCATAGATTGGTCTCGTTGTGATGTTTGAAAGTGCACAAAAGGTGTGAAGCCTGTATGTTTGTCCTTTCAAACCAAGTCTGGGAAGTCAGGACACGGAGGTAAGACCATGTAAGACCCATAAAAAATGTCTCTCTGAAAATGCGAATGGAACCGAAAATCCTGGCTCCCCACACATATGCAATGTCCCGGGTTTTAAAGGAGGGCCGCAAAAAGATGGTTTTTCTGTTCACTAGGCCTAGGCTTTGGGCCCTTCAACTTCCCTCAGTTCCCTTCAAAGGTCCACCAGTTCAGGCGCGGGTTCCCATTATCAAATTCAACGAATTATCTCAGATGCTCCAAGGCTCACTAAATCGTTCTAAATCCATTGGGTTCAAGGGAAACTTTGCCGGAAACCATGAAATTTAATGTGATTTTGGCTGGTTGGTGGTATACCTACCCCTTTGAAAACTATGAAAGTCAGTTGGGATCATTCTTCCCAATTGAATGGAAAAATCAACGTCATGTTCCAACCACCAATCAGATCACCATCATATTCCCATTCTTGTTGGTTTATAGCCTATGAAAACCACTATTAACCACTATTAACCACTATTAACCACTATTAACCACTAACCACTATTAACCACTATTAACCACTATTAACCACTATTAACCACTATTAACCACTATTAACCACTATTAACCACTATTAACCACTATTAACCACTAACCACTATTAACCACTATTAACCACTATTAACCACTATTAACCACTATTAACCACTATTAACCACTATTAACCACTATTAACTACTATTAACCACTATTAACCACTATTAACCATCATTTTTTCGGGAATAACCACCAATCAATCTATGTCCGAGCGATTTTTTCCGAGCGATTCCCATGTCTTGGCCTCGGATTCCCATGGATTCCCATGGATTCCAGACCCGGATTCCGCCAAATCTGTAGCGGCATTGCCGTGGCCTCGGGGTGATCAACTGGTTGAAAGCAAGATAGCATTTTTTAGTGCCGGACATGTTAGATCATATTTATATATATATATATATCATATAGCAATATAGCAATATTATTGATATAGCAATATAGTACTTAGAACATATTTTCCAAATTTTCAGATCCCCATGTTAGTAAAGCAAGGGATATGTACTCGAAAAATAGAGGAACTAAAGTGACAACGATGTACTGTTTCCGCAAAATGTCTGTTTTCCTCTGACTGCTTGTGACGAGGTCTTGTGTTTACCTAGGTCGAGCTCTAGAGCCAGAACAGTTACATGGACAACAATGGATCTGAGGTATGATAGATCACGTACCTTTCAAGTCGGGTGTTCTCCTGTAAGTTGGTGAGATGCTGTAACTGGCTCGAGCTCAAACTTCGGTATCTGTGATTGCCAGAGGACGTGTCCCTCTGGTCTTCATGAATTCAGCGGGGTGTAGTCTTCGTACAAACCCTCTCATGGCATTAATTAATTGCGAGCGATCGATGGAACCTTTTGTCATTCCATCTGCAACCATATCGCGTGTGTCAACCCATCCTAAGATAGTAATAATTTTCGAAATTGTCAGCTGCTTTATCCATGAGATATGAGAGAGTAGTGACTTTTCCGTTGGGTATTTAAAGTTTTCATTTTCTACCGCACTAAAAACGGACCTGGCGTCTATCCAGACATAGAGTTCGATAAGGTAACCACCGTTTTCTCTTAAATTTATGCTGGATTGGGGATTAAGGGGTCCGAAACAAATTTCATGAAGGGTAGTTATGATTATAAAACTTTGATCAACGGACGCAGTGAGTGCCAACAGCTCAGCGGCGAATGTGCTACGCACCACGAGCTTATGAGATTGAGAAACAGCCTCAATCAAATGGCATCTCTTCACACCTCTTGCATCAGTGCCCATTCTAAGATATACTGCACCCCTCAAAGCGTATCCCTTATCATTTTCTCTGGAGAACGCTGAATCAGAGTATAGTTCAACAGCCCTGCTACAAGTCATTGAGCTATACTCCAATTTCTGGGGACGACGCTGGAGCTCGCGGGTGAGTGCGTTTAGTCTTTTGACATGTGTAACAGTGGGGTTCTGGGTTACACGTTGGAGGGAAATTATATAGACTAATACCCACGCCTGTGTTAGGGCGGAATAGGCAACGGCTCCTAACAGGCTCCAATACAGCGCTCTGAGGTGCTCGGGGCATAGGGCATCCTTCTGGAGATTGGCATAGTGTTTTGGGTTTATGGGTTTTAATGCGCTAAGATATTCTGACTGATCAAGAGTAATAGTTCCATCTGGGAGTCTTTTATGACAAATGCCGCAGTTTGTAAATTCACTTTCTTGATACGTCAGTTTCCCAAAATGCCCTTCCAGAGTTTTAACCAAAGAGTCTATTTCTGATTTCAGACCTGCCATTTTGATATCATCTACATGGACGGTTATGGCTAAGACTAGGGTTCCTTTCTTATGTAACATTAACAGTTGGGGGTCATATAAAGATGCCCGGAACCCTAATTCCTTGAGGATGTTGATGAGCCTCAAGTTGAATGCTCTAGGAGCGTCTCTGCAGCCAGTACCAGGCTTCAAACATTTGAGAGCTTCCGATCGCTCATCAAAGTCTTCATATCCTGGAATACGTCTGAGATGCTTGGCTGTTCCCGCCGGGACTGTAAAGCTTATGTGTTTTTCGGGCTCTCCGGTCAATTTATTCATCTCGGAAAAGGTAAGCCCTTGAAGAAATGCTTTACTTATGTCCACGGCGACAAAGCTCCAGTCCTTGTGGCAGGCTGCTTCACTAGCTAGAATCTTTTGAGAAGTTCTTTGCGCAGTGGCCGAGAAGTTCACTTCATCTTCGGTTTGCGGTTCCTTGAACCCTCGCAAGGCCAATCGCATCCTGATGATGCGCTTCCCGTCTACGTATTTCCACTTAGAAACTAGCTTAGCGTCAATCAGAACCTTACATTTCTTTTTGGGGATTCGTTCAAAGCAACCATACTTATGCCAGGTTTCGTACTCTTTAACTGTTGCTTCATCAACTTCTTTACGATGGTTAATTAGTTCCTTAGCAGTAAGCAGGTCCGTATCTCTTTCGATGACTTCTTTCTTGGCTTCTGCATTAAGGAATACTTTCATCATGTTGGGCTTTGACACATCGCGACTGTCTTGGAAGCATTCAGTGATACTTTTTGAGATCAGCACTTCAAGAAATGGTTCATCATTTTCATCAAATTCAAAAGTGTGATCATATTCGTCGAAATCTGGACTGACTATTGGTGGTATTGAATCCCAATCATTGTGGTTATCTGGATTTGAAAAGTAACACCAATCATCTTTAATCTCCACACCTGATACTTCATCTACCGGTTCGTTGAGAACTACCCAGCACAGCTCCTTGAGATCACTTTGGATTTCTTTGGGAGCACCTTCGAAATGTTGTATGTACAATGCTTCAACCTCTGGAGAGTCAATGCTAACTTGAGATTCCTCGGCGATCGTACTGAGCCGCCCATCACTACGACCCACCTCGATCTCTCGATCGAGATGCGCCATAGCCGACGGACGGTCCAGCACTTTCTCCTCAAAATCATCAAGTGTCATTCCTACATCTCTATCTAGCATAAAACACTGCATTGTTGCGACGAAGGACTCCTGTGGACCAAAGATTTTATTGATGTTTTGTCTGGGGTGATCGGCAACATGTATGAGCATTGCGTCTGGGTTGTTCATGTTCCAATTGAAAATCACATTGCGGTACCTGTCTTCAAGATCTTGCAACTGTTTGATTTTATGTCCAATTCTTACAGTGTAAATATCATCCATTTGAAGGGAATTGGTTATGATGAACTCTAGTGCTTTTGAAATTTTGGGCCATCGTTTGGTGGTTTTTGTCAGTCTGTCATTTACATACCCAAAAACTTCAACACGGCCATCGGGGAGTTCATTCAAAAATTGATGGATGTATTCCATGGCATTCAAACAGATATCCGCATTGGTGTGTCCATAAAGAGAAACTGTTGCATAGT